TGCTGCAGCAGTCACACACAAATATACCACTTTGCTCTTTAAAGGCAAAGCAATAGATCACAACCATTAACTGTACCCCTGGCTGTACTGAGCATGCTGGGAAACTTTAGTTAAGGTTTCTAGCCTGTTGACTTGCACAGAAGCAGAAAACTTTGCCTTTCAGGAGCAAAGATCCTCTACAGCTTACATGGTCCTGCCAATATGAATGCCACATGCTAGGGCTTCAGTGAAGCTCACGACATTCTTTGTCTTATTGCCAGTCAACAGTGCTACTACTGTTAGTTCATTTCTCCTCACATCTAACGAGATTCGGCTCCAGCTGGCTTAGGAAAAGCCATTTGTTGAGATATTAGACTAAAGACTGCATTTGGATGGCTTAAATCACACGTCCCCAGCTGTAGCAAGTTCCCTGCCTTGATTAACTCAAACCATGTCAAGCCATCTTCACAGGCCCTCAGTCTTCAGCACAGTAACTAAGCCCGATTCCGGTCTTCAGTTCCTTGTTCAAAGCTTAAACTTCTTCCTGCTCCCTGAAGCATCTGTGCACCTTGTATTTGCTGTGTGAGGATTCTGTACATTCAATTCCTCTCCCTGGTCATCTCCAAACAAACCCCTGCCTCTTTGCTTTAAGTTACGCTTCCTCTGAGTTGCTGACCAATTCTATCTTTTCAGGATTAATATTAAAATTAGTGACAATTCCTCCATTGAAAACAAGCTACTCTATTCTTTTGTAATTCCTGGGCTATACTGGATTAAAAATAGAGCATGTGCACACTTTGTGGCAGAGCACCTCTCTCGTCTCTCGGAGACACCCCACACCACCCAGCTGCGTCCCACACCTTCAAGTAAATTGCCATTTGGGAGTGTTCATTGTGTCCTAATGCTCGATGCACAACCATCTCTGACGGCTCTAGACAGACCAAGCATTATTCTGGCCTGCTTTCAGGCTAGGTGTTCTCTGACAGGCAGAGTTCCAGTAACTGCACCACGAGATGTGCGCGACATGTACAGTGCAATTCCAGCAAACCATGAACTGTAAAGACCCAAAGTTTCAGAGGGGAATTTATTGTATGGGAGCATATCCAGTATCTTTTGTCAACCATTCATGAGAATAATAAAAAATAGAAGCTTTGTACGTGACAAAAAATATAGTTACATATAATACAGATTTTCATCTTGCATTGAAGCAGAGCAGTAATAAAATGCTCAGTTGTGTTTTCACAGTTAGTTCGCGTCGCTTCTCTAGGTTAAAGCATCAGCAACTCAAATCTTCCAGTCAGAACCCCTAGTTAGTAGTTTCACGGGGTGATCATGAGGCTGAGTGTTGTCTGCATTTTGATACCCTTTACAAATTGAGCAGGCATCCTTGATCCATCTCAGAACTACTCAAATTTTCACAGGTACCAGCTACGCTTGAAACAAGGCATCCTTGCTGCAGCTGAAAGACTTCTGTATCAGAACATGCTTTTAGGCCCAGTTCAGAATCACATCCATGGAATACTCAAGAATGTGCTTAAATCCCATTTGGTTCAAAGGGCTCCGAGTTGATCCTCTGTGACCACCTCTGCTTGTTCTGCCCCTCACAAGCGCTGGACACTGGCACAAAGCACTAACCAGTATAACCAGTGTAAGTTGCTTGCAAGGCTACAAAGGATTTGCACATTCTTCAGCACTCCATTTACCTGAGACCTAAACGCATTCACTGCATGCACACATTTATGCATAGACTACACACACGTAGCCCCAACCCCTCCCCACAACATTATTGCAATAATTCTTTGCTGGTATAGCAGTTTATATACCAAGTTTCACTTATTTAGTTTTCTATAAACATAGAAAAAGACATCTGAAGAGAGCTAGAACAGCTTTCAATCAGTCACTATATTGGCATTGAAAGCTTTATTTTTAAAACTTTAAGCAGCAGTACTGAATAAATAGACAGAATGATTGTTTTGTCATCTCCATACAACCGATGGCCTTCATCCAAAACACGAAAATACTGTAGCAAATAGAATAAACATGCATGTTTCAATGTTCATAAAAAAAAAAAGAAGGTGTAATAGAAAAGTAACACTTTGACACTTATTTTAATACAGTACAGACCATTAGAGACTATTTTCTGGAAAAATATCTGAATACAGTTTTGTTATATACATGGATCATTAAGGCCAAATTCACTCAAGTTAATGCACATCAGGAATTTATATGCTTCAAGATAACTCACTAAAAATCACAAGATCAACTTTTTTGCTCATACTTATATGATCCCAGTTCACTAAAATAATGCAATACTCTTCACGCTAAAAACAACGCAATTATTGCCCCAAGAGGAGATTTGTTTCACTAAAGGATCTTTTCCCTCTTACCTCACAATGAAAGCATGCTTGCATATTGCTAATGCTAGTGGTAGTTCTTTCAAGAGCTTGCTTCCAACTTGCCAGGGTTTAGAAAAGCAGATAATCTCAGAGCTAACGGACCATTTCCAGAAGCAGTTCAGGCACTTGGGAACCTAATTCCCACTAAAGGGTAACGGGAGGCAGGTTCCTAGCTGACTTTTCAAGAGTGGGCCTTGGGTTTCTCCATTGCTCGGGCACTCAGAATGTTTCCCTTAGCCTTAACCTACCGGCTTTTCAAACGGCCAACCTCCCCCCTTTTCCCCTAACAACATAGCATCACCAGCAAAAATAAACTGTATCCTCATGGATGAGAGAGGTAACACAGTTAATTTCCATTAGTAATAAGTTACACGAGTTCTCCGTATAAATTCCCTGTGCACTGGAAAATAGTGCTTATGTATTCAACTATTTAACACAAGCAAAAAAACCCATTTTTATCATGCTGGCCAGTAAATAATATGGCACTTGTTAAAATTAGCATGTGTAGCTTCCTTTCTGCTAATGCCCCATAAGTAGGTTTGAAACGCTTCTGAAAATGAGTTTTTCTACATTTGTAAAGAAAAAGTGAGGTTCTGCAGTTGATCAGAAGCAAAACTCTCAACAACATGATGTGAGGAATTTTTGTAACTGTACTACATTGTTCAAGTCACATTTAATGCAAGGGCATGCCATTTACTTTTGGTTTATTTACAGAGAGGGTGAAAATGCTACAGAATCTTAACCGGGGTGAAATTCAGTAAGGAAGAGGAGTATGGTGGGGGCAGGGGAATTTGTCAGTGTCTCACAAATGACAGGTTTGGGTACCAAAGCCTCTCCTTTGCCACAACAGTGGCTGAAGCGGTAAATGTTTTTCAGATCACCTTGACATATGCCAAAGCCCTGACATGGAGGGTCTACTCAGTGATGATGCCAGCTCCAGGCTGGCCCTTCTGTCAAACAGCTGCTGCAATCAGCAGATGCTATTTTTTAACTTAAATGGCAAATTAATTCCTTGATTCTGTTACAGACCTGTAACTCCCTCTCTCCATCTTAAAGAATAACCTGGCATAGAAAGGGAGCAGTTTTTATGATGCAAAAGCCCAATCCAGCTCAAACTGACATCTGTAGGAGATGGACCAGTCACAAAGTGTGACGAAAACATTAACTGGGTAAGCATGCTGATCTGCCTTAAAAATAACTTCATCTCAGTACAAGACTGAAATTGCAACAGGCCTTTTTTCGTGTTTCTCCCCACCCCATGCAGCACAATTTGGGCCAGACTTTGCAAGGTGCTGAGTGCCTCAGTTCTCTAACATCAAGAGGTGCTGAAGATGCAAGATATCCACCGGAGAGGACCATTTCATTTCTGTAAATTGAACCCAGAATGTAAGGCATAAATGCTCAAGTACCTTGGACAGATACTGTCCCCAAACTATTTATATTTTACAGTTCTTTTTAATATATATACACACATTCTTTCTTTTTTTTTTTAATACAAAGTTATGGGCACAGTAAACATGAGCACAGAATTGTGATAAACTAACAGTAATGTGTGATCACTGCAAAGATTCCTCGAGTAGGAATACCTCATTTTCCAGTTTGCTCACAAGGCGGGGGGGAAGACCTGATAAGTTAAACAGTAGAAGTTCAGAATCCATTTGGAAAGGTCCTTTATATATTCACAGCCTTATCTGTTGCTGTTAGTCTAAATACAGCAGCATTTTTAGAATATATGGTGCCATTAATAAGTGGAAAGGGAAAAATGCATTAAAAACCAACCTCAAATGTCCTTCATCTTTTACTATATCTTATAAAACTTCCATTTGTCAGTATGACTAGGAAGAAGCTCCTTTTGAAAAAGAGGAAACTTAACATTTATCTGTGCATCAGTGAATCAAGACAAGAGGATGCTAGGAGTTAAGAATGTTCAAGTGTTTTCTGTGGCAAAAAGCTTGGAGTTTCCTACCAGTGGTAAAATCCTGACGCTACCAAAGACATCAGGAGTTCTGCCATTTTGCAACTGACTGGCGTCCACGTATTCAATACTGCAGTGAAAGCACGGTGACCCCCTCTCACGTCAAGGGGATCTCAAAGGGGGGGATGACGGTGTGAGTTGCTATTAGAACATGAAATCCAAATGCAACTAGGTAAGGCCTATCCCTCCCTTCTTTAACTCAGCCGTGAGGCCAGCCTCCCAACGCATACAAAGCATCCCACTGACACCAGTCACTTTCTCTACAAACACGGGGTTGACCTCAGCGATCTAATTTCAAGCCCTGTAACCAACAGGCTACTTGGCAGTGTCTTACTTTCTGCATGGAAGCCATTTTGTCTAATCCTTGCTCAGCTTTCATTGCATCTTTCAAAGGGGTTAAACATCTACCATGTAACACTGGGGACCTGGAATGAAATCCCGGCCCCACTCAAGTCAGCAGCAGCTCTGCTGTTGACTTTGTGGGACTCTGCCACGTTTCTTCCCTCCACAAAACTTGAGTGAATTTTGGAAGGCTAGAAGAGAACGCTCATTTGTTTTTTGTCTTTTTTCTTCTCCAACAGCAAGATTTACTGCAAAACAAGAACACTGTAATGGCTTTTGGAAAAAATAAAGTACAAAATCACACACAGTGAAAGCCTCCTACTCTCTTTTGGTAAGATATATGAAGACAACTTCTTACATTGTTCTTTTCTCAAAAGGCATATACAATGTGGCAAAATATTTCAAATATACATTCTATATAATTAAAATACCATCTAACTAGTGCATCCTCAATCATATGCTGGAAATATTTTTACCAAGCCAAGGTTTAAATTCCACAAATCTTTTGAACACTAGGTGCTTCATTCAAGGCAGATTCAACAGCAAGTAAACCCCACAAGCTCACTTTTCAAGCCTTAAAAGGTAGCAATGGATGGAACATGACATATTATGACCCATAACAGAAATTAACAAAGTCAGTGGTGAGAAACCATTTTAATGGTTCAGCACTCCACAGAACTCTGCATCCCACGCTGTTGTACTTGATCAAATGGTGGATGTTTGTACACACAAAGTCACCCTGTCAGAATGACGTACAGCCATACATGATTATTCACAAATTAAAAATAAAAATACAGAAGGTGAACACTCGCATGTCCATTGATTAAACGGAATAAATTAAACCTCAGATTCAGTTGCATATGTGGTTTCCTTCGCCCTCAGTCTTTCATTTGTGCCTATACAAGGGACAATACTTTCCCAGACACTTCTGAAGCAGCAAAAACAAATGAAGTTTTTGCACTCTCGCTGTGGTGACAGCAAATTCATCCTTGCCAATTATGAACTGAGACGGTTCCTCTGTCTCTTTAGCATCAGTGCACAGGGTATGGCTCCAAGTGGTGTGTTGGAGGAAGAAGAAAAAATATGGTGGCTTAACAAAACAAACAAACAAAATCTTCCTCCATTCATCATTGGCAGAATAAAACAGAAGTGTATCTTGTCCAGGGTACCTTGCTAGGTCCTCTCCGGAAGAGGTATGTACTGTCATACATAAATGCCCTCCGGGTTAAAACCAGACGACAGGGGATTCTGCAGAATCCGAAGGTTACTGGGGAGTTGCCGTGATGAGCCAGGGCGCTTCAGTGACCCAGACTGAAATGCTGGCTCTGCGCAAGAAAACAGGCAGTTAGTCATCATCAAGGGTGATGCCTGTAGAACACCCCTCTTCCTCCTGCTCACTGATGCCCTCAGCGCAGTACAGAGAAACTAATACCATACACAACAGAAAATTCAAATGCCTGACTAGGAAGTGATGAGATCCAAGGTGCACACTTCCTACTCGTTTTGAAACAGAAAGATAGGCCTGCTCATTCTAACTACCCTCCCATGAGGAACACGCACACAGATACACGCAACACATTCATACAGTAATGTGCAGAAAGAGCTTGTACGTATACATAACTCAAAGCTTCAGCTTCCTGCCCACTTCAAAGAGAAACTTCGTACAAGTGCTGACATTTAAGGCCCGGTTGTCTTCTCTTCCCACCTCCCAATGCCTTTTGGTTAGAAAGTCTTCTCAGAGCAGGGCCAGAACCAGCTGAGGAGAATGCTGAGAGCGCAGGGCTCTTGGCAGCAGGGTACTGGGTAAACCACCCCACAGCAGAGGCTGAGCCACAGCAGGGCAGCTTCTGCCTGTGCCACAGTTCTGACTCTTGTTCAAAGTGCTCCCACATTTCTGTCTAGAAAATTCCAAATTCAGATGTGGGCACGTGCAGAATGCACTGATCTCACTAGGGACAAAGTCAGTTTGCACACGCTGAAACAGCCATCTGTGCAGGATGGCTGGCAGCCCAGCCAAATGAGGTCCTGTTCCCCTGCGGCTGCTGTCTGGGATTTCTTGTGATCCAGACGCGTTCCTTTTTCTACTGTGACAACGCATCCCACCAGCAGAGGAAGAACCCAGCTGAACAGCAATGCCAGATGGGCAATTGCGCTGTGCACCAGCTTACATGCCTGCAGCCGTGGTGGCCCCACTTGCAAGCTACTGGCCTAATGGGTTACTGACGGGGCAAAAACATGCCTAGGCACAGGGGGAGAGAAGTTATCTACATACTGCACTTTATTTATAGCTTGCTAAACCCCTGGAATGAAAAGAAATGCTTGACACTGCTTTCTTACTATTTTGCTAACTTCTTCGCTAGCAGAGTGTTCACTCGATGTATGAGGGCTAGCAGTAACGCAGCGGGAAATGCACTGCCAGCCCCTTCTCCCGCCCACCAAAAGCACCCTGAGTGCTGCACCTCTCTCGAGCTCCACGTGCGGGGCCTCCACCTCAACGGGGTCTGCTGGCAGCACCGTGACCTTCGTTCCCGTTTGCTGGATGAACTGTTGGAGATTGACCTGTCGCAGCTCCTTCGTCAGTTGCTCCAGTTCTTGTTCCCTGTCCTGCCAGGAAAGGGAAAACATCCGCTGAGTGGCAGCAAGCATAAAGCAGCATTTCAAGACTCTATTTGCAATTGGGCAACTAACGTGGCTTCTCCTTTTGATGAGAAAGCCTCCAATTTTTAAATTCAAACAGAAGAGTTGAAAGGTGTTTTACTCTCCTAGTTCAGAAAGCGAATCAACGCTCACTATTATTAGGGGTTATTACTGGCCTGTTTATATTGCTTCTTGGATGACTAGCAGACATTTCTCATATCACCTGAGAAAAATTTTGGCACAACAGATGCAAGCAAGTAAAGGTAATAGTGAGCACTCAAAAAAAAAAAAAAAAAAAAAAAAACAAATTTACAACACGCCCGGCCCAAAAAAAAAAAAAAAAAAAAAAAAAAAGCATCAACTTAGCATCAGCCTGGCACCAAATACTAGCTCTGCCGCAAGTGTCCAGCATTACTTGGGCGGCTCATTTAGTTCTTCTGTTCTCAAAATGAGAGTAATTCCTTTCTCTTCTTGTTTTTCATGTTTTCTATTTAGAGTGTGAATTTTCACGGACGTAACTCTCTCACTCTGCAAGTGTGCTGTGTTCTGTACAATGAGGCCAAGTCCAGGCTGGTTCCCCACCCCTTTACAAGCTCAGATGATCATTCAGGGTCTCCCTCAATGCTCTAATTCTGGCATGATATGCAAAACCTATAGCTCTGATAGATTCCAACAGTCTTAGAGTGCGATTTTTTTTTTGAGGGGTCGGGCTTGGCATTTAAGATCTTTCTCTAGAAACAGGGCAAGCAAAGAGTGCTGCATCTGATCCTCAACTGAGCCTCATGTTGTTGGGAAGTAATGTTATTGGCGTGGCTAGAGAAAAGGAATGAAAGAGAAGAGGTGGGACAAATTACTAGAAATTTCTCTCATGCTACTAAAAAATGCCACCTTCCTGTTCTTATCACTTCAAATCTAGTGAACCAAAATTTTCTTTCCTTCCTTACTGAAAGGCTTATTAAAAAACCCATTCTCAGCTTTTCTTGTTTCAAATCAGCAATTCTATGAATATTAACAATTAACTTGAAGCATGCAAGAAAGCATTTCTCTATTCCTTCCCCCCAAAAGTGTGTAAAACAAAGCTGAGCTTATTTTCTTCTGAACTTCCAGATTTTTGGTTTGGAACAAGCTTGGAAGATCTGAATTTAACAGGAACTTGCTTCAGAAACCTGGACAAGTTTGAGAAATGGGCCTGTGTGAACCTCCTGAGGTTCAACAAGGCCAAGTGCAAGGTCCTGCATCTTGGTCGGGGCAACCCCTGCAATCAATACAGGCTGGGGGATGAAAGGATCGAGAGCAGCCCTGAGGAGAAGGACTTGGGGGTACTGGTGGATGAAAAGCTAGACATGAGCCAACAATGTGCACTGCAGCCCAGCAGGCCAACCGTACCCTGGGCTGCAACAAGAGAAGCGTGGCCAGCAGGGCGAGGGAGGGGATTCTGCCCCTCTGCTCTGCTCTGGTGAGACCCCACCCGGAGTCCTGCGTCCAGCTCTGGAGCCCCCAGCACAGGGAAGACATGGAACTGTTGGAGTGGGTCCAGAGGAGGCCACAAAGATGATCAGAGGGATGGAACACCTCTCCTATGAGGAAGGGCTGGAGTTGGGACTCTTCAGCCTGGAGGAGGCTTCAGGGAGACCTTATTGTAGCCTTCCAGTACCTGAAGGGGCCTGTAGGAAAGATGGGGAAAATATTTTCAGCAGAGCTTGTTGCGATAGGGCAAGGAGCAATGGCTTTAAACGAAGGGAGGGTAGGTTTAGACTGGGTATAAGGAAGAAATTTTTTACCATAAGGGTGGTGAGACACTGGAATGGGTTGCCCAGAGAAATAGCGGAGGCCCCATCCCTGGAAACATTCAGGGCCAGGTTGGATGGGGCTCTGAGCAACCTGCCCTAGCTGAAGATGTCCCTGTTCACTGCAAGGGGGTTGGGCTAGATGACCTCTAAAGGTCCCTTCCAACCCAAAGCATTCTATGATTCTATGGAAATAAAACCCTAGTATATAAAAAAAATGAAGCAGGGAAGATTTTTAACTCAGTCATAGAGGATTGGTAAAATCTGTAAAGAAGACTTGATGCTTTCTGTTAGCTCAAATCTATTAGCATAACATGTCTGCAAATTAGGATAGATAGATATGACCAAAACTGTTTACAGTTTTCATCCATCTTGCTTTGGATGAAAAGATTACATTCCCCGTCCCTTAGCAAGAGTGGCTTATGCTGACATGGTTCTGGGTGCTCGGGAATAAGGGTGCAAAATCCCTGTACGTAGCCACAGCACCATCACCTTACTGCCACTGCAGCACCGTGGAATACAGTAACTGTGAATCCCAGGAATAGAGCAAGAATCACAACTCCAACAGACGTGTGCTGCCTCAGCCCTGTCTCACGTTGCACATTAAAGTCCCAGGAGCCACAATCTTTCCCGCACCTCATCCAGCTAGCAGCTGGATTTCCATTTATATTTACTTATTCATACTCTATCAAGTTCCAGGTGATATCACCAGCTTTAGCCAGGAAGCAGAGACAGGATTCTCTTGTGACACACTCCACAAACGCCCGAGGTGAAGAGGACATACAATCCTGAACAAGTCAGGCAGGAAAAGGGAGATGCTGTACTTTAAAACAAAGGCACTGCAAGCTAACAGTCATTTTAGCTCCACATCCACCTGTCCAGGTGCTGCTTTTGGTCTGTTCCTTTGAATTCATCTATTTTGGTGGCAAACAGACCTAGCAAGAATCAGAAGTTCAGCCTCAGAAAGAGCTGTGATCGTACCAGTTTCCCTGAAGTTTAACAGCGTGAGTCACTGAGCTGACAAGACCTAGCACCTAAACCCTCGAGGTATCTAACCCCACATCAACAGAGATTTGAAGACTAACAAAGGTGTTAGGCCGAGAGCACTATGGTCCCGCTTGGCACCCAGCACGACCACAGCCCCCCGCGAGCCCTAAATGTGCTGCTGTCCAGGCAGGAGACAGCACTTGTCTGAGGCGTGGGAGAGCCCAGTGCCCCGGGCGCAGCAGCCCCGCAGGGGAGCCAGCGAGCACCCCTCGGGCAGGGCGGGGTGGCCGGATGCGCTGCCATGGGCGCAGCTACCCTGCCCTCAGCTAGCCTGGCTGATGTCAGCTCTGGCGTTTCGCTGTCATGGCGAAGGTACGTTCCATGTGCCTTCTCAGAGGGCTCCAGGCAGTCAGGGAACAGGGGCAAACCAAGGCTGGAACCGGTGGGACAGGCACTAAGCCAGCAGGTGAGTAAGTGAAGGGTGGTGCGGTGCTCGGCACTAACCCTGCAGGACACCCAGGCCTTCCGGACGGCCAGGAACACAGCCACCAAAACCTCTGCTAGCTCACCTCGAGACAAAGAGCTGACTACCATTTTGCTTTTCAGATGGTGCCAATGAGTAAAATACACACAGGCGAAGTTAATGGTCTGCTCTTCAAACAAAAAAAATCTGAAACACAATTTGAGAATGAAAGCAATGCTTTCTTCCTTTTACCCACATGCACTGTGGAAACTGTCTCATGTTTTCTTTCATGGGCTCCAAAACCTGCTCGACAAATTTGTTACAGCCAGTCTGTGACTTTTCTTTAGCTACGGATAAAAAGGACATTCTTACCTGCAACCGTTTGGTAGCTTGGCCCAAAGACCTTTCCACAGCTTTAATGCCATTTTCCAGTCTCAGACTCTGCTGGCCCTGAACATCAATTTCACCCTTCACCTTCTCGATTTTTTCCTTGACCTCTTCTTCGTTCACTTGGGACTCTTGAACTTCCCGCTGCAACTTCTCTGCTTCAAGGCCACTTTCCATGTTGTGGATCTGAGACATGTAGTCCTTCAGCTTGCTCTCGCACTCCAGGATCCTCTGCCTCATCTCCTGCAGCTGCTCCTTCAGCTGCTTCTCATTCTCCTGCTCGATCTGCAGCTCGTTTTCCCAGAACTCTTCCTCTTCAATCTCCACCTCGTTCCTTTTGATCTTCTGCTCTAGCTTGAGGATTTCTTCTTCCAGGCTGGAGTTGTACTTCTGCTCCCAGTAGCGGATCTCGGCTTCATTGGACTCCAGCTGTTTCTCAATGCACTGAAGCTTCTCCGTCTGGAGGTGGATCAACTTCTTCAGCTCATCCGCTGTTGTTTTACAGTTGTTGAGCACCTTCTGCTTGAACTCGGATTCCTTGCTTTTCCCAAAGATGTCCATTAGCCCTTTGGCCCCCCCGGTGAAGGTGAGGGATTTCCTCTTGGGCTCCCTCCTCTTCATGGACTTGTCTCCGGGAGGCCTCAGCTTGGCCAGGGGCGGTAAGCTCTGCCGGTACAGCGTCCTCTCAGGGATGCGCGCCATGCTGTCCGAAGTCGGCCGCTCGCTCAGGGAGGGCCCGGTGCGGCGCAGGATCAGCTGCACGTCGCTGGCGTACTGTCCCCACTTGTTCAGAGACACGATGGGGTTCTCGTGCGGCGCCAGGTGCCTCTCC